AAATATATTAAGTTTTTAACAGTGAGATATTAAAATGAAACAAAATTAAACGTTAAGTATGATTTTAAAAAAAAATAAAAAATTAGATACTAAAATATGCCATATTAAACATGCAATTTACTTTTTTTTATTAGATAGAAAGCAATAAGTCTCATTTAAGGGGTTGTTTGTTTACTTCAGAATGATTAAGAGTTGAATGATTTAAATGCTAAATGATTCAGATGCTCTGTATGAATTAACTCTGAATATGACATGTTATTTGATAATAGTTCTGAATGATTCAGAATGTACTTTGATGCTAAATCATTCAACACTATTTTGTTGAATCAGTCAGCACTGAATCATTCAGAGGTGAGAAATAAACACGCTAAATACTGAACGGTTCAACATTCAACGTTAAACGATTCAACATTAAACTCTGAATGATTCTATTCAAAATTAAACAAACAGTTCCTAAGTCTATAAAAGATAAGTGCGAAACTGAACACAAACACTTACAATTGAGTCTTTGTGGTCTGCCATTGACATAGACACATAGTTGAACAACCAAATCTATATTTCTAGTTGAAACCGAACATTGAAAGTTCCATGTTTGGTTCGAGATGTACACTCACTGTCCCACCAACCCCCGTGAAATACCCTTCGCGAATCGTCTATAAAAAATCCAATTTCATTTTCACATAAATAATATGAACTCGAATAATTAATGTTCAAAATTATTTATTTATATTTTTCTAAATTTATAACAAATAACGATTTTAATAAATGAATCATCCTTTCCTTCATTCCAATTAAATGACCATTGACTACAAAGGACGGTTAATGATTATTTTATTTAGTACTCTCAAATAAATATCCAGTATAGTCTACACGTTAAGTTGGTCTAGTGGGATGAGATATTAGATTTTTTAAGTAAGGTTATGAGTTCAAATCCTGACAATTGCAAATAGAGTAAACTGGGGGAGATGATCGTTCTTATCTCTGTAATATTTAATTCGAATTAATTGATCAATAAATCGAATATCGATTATTATAAAAAAAATATGAAGCATGGTCTGATTGGTAGGTTTGAAGACATGTATAAAATTTCATCCCATGTGGATCGAAGTTTACCATATATTTAAAATATGTATGTTAAATTCAATTAAATATATAAATGTGATAACGTAAACTACAACTTTCCCGTACAAGTGGTGAAGGCTACCATGTGCAAACCTATTTTTTAATGAAGCAAATATTAATCTTTAAAAATTCGATAAAATAAAATATCGATGTTTGTGTCTATAGTTTAAACATTAAAAATTTCATGAGTATTAAAATATTCATACATCTTATTAACATATATAAATTAGTGATTTAAAAATAAAATAATTAAAAATTAATCAAATATTTCGAATAAATAATAGATACAAATATTATTATCGTAAACGGAGGATAAACACCATCAACACTAACATAAAATTGCACAATGATGTTTGTTAACAAGTCGATAGTATCATAACTTAATCTCGACTTTATTATCAGTGATTGCGAGCATTTATCGATATTATAAGGATTCAATTCAGAGATAAATTAATAATACAAACAGATAAACGTCATATAAATTTAAAGAAATGACATCAAATTCAACTCTTAAAAAAATGATACAATACGATTATCTCTTATTTTCATAAAAAAAAAAGAATAAAATAATTAAGGATAACTTAATTCATAAAAAAGAAAAAAAACTAATACGATTAGAGTAGCTGTTAAAAGTAAAAAAAAATGATAAAAATATATAATGACTAAGATTTTTTTTACAACAATCTCTAATTTATTAATTCAAATATCTTAAAAATCAATCAATAATATTTAAAGTATATGATTAAAAGTTATCGGTTGATACCGCTCTTCTCTCAAAAGTTATGAGTTCAATATCTATTAAACAAAATTACCTTATGTTCTTTTAGGTATGAATTGTTCATTAGATATATATCTTAAAACCTATAAACATGATAAATGTCATTTGTCTCACCATCAATTAACCTTCCATCTTAACAAAAAAACTCAATTAATATATTTAATTAGGCAAAAAAGTTGATAATTTAAAAAATTTTATAAAATATTCTTTAACTTATACACGATAATTTTTAATTTTATTTTATCAGGGAACAAGTATTTAATTTTTTGAAGCATAATCCAACAAATACCAAATTAATAATTAATTTGTATAAGTTTTTTTATAATGGTTGTCCCTTGTTCCCATATGTAATGAGATAAGGGGGAGGTAAGATAGTAGGTTGCCCCCCACACTAGGTTGAGAGCAGCTTCCGTAGGATACCTTCAAATTATGAAATGCCCTCCATGAGACTCGATCCCATGACCTCAAGGTTAAGAACCGTGTGCTCTATCAACTAAGCTGGATGGTCATTTATAAGTTTTAAATTTAATTTTAACTCTATTTAGAGAGGAGTGGGAGAAGATATTACAAGAAAAGGAAATTAAGTGATATTAAGTCTATAACTCGTAATATAAGAGAATATAATAAAAGATGAATATTTTAATTAACCGATTAAATTTATTTTAAGAAAAACACTTATAAAATAATTTTAAAGGTAGAGAAATCATTATAAAAATATAGTGACGCTGCTATGATGTAATATTAAATGTGCTTACCAATAAGATAGAAAAAGTAGTAATGAATAACATATTTATTTAGTCACCCTGGCATCATTATGACGTATGGACCCATTCATCATTTCATTTTACAGATAACGACTCTACTTTCATTTTGAATTTCCGTCGCGGGTTGCCCCCATCAATCAATACTTAGGTTAGGTCTTAGGTGCATCAATATTTATTACCCATTTCCCCCTTTTTATATATATATATATATATAAACAAGCTGATAGAATTAATTATCAGTTGATTTCAAAAGATGAAACAATAAATAGATTTAACTGAAGTAATAAAATTAAATTAAAAAGGTTAAACTGTATTAGTGACCACTTAATTATAGTCACTTTTCATTTTGATTATTATTTTTAATTCTTGTCAATCAGGTCACTTAACTATTTAAACGCATTCAATTTGGCCACTTACCTTAACAGTTAACGAAAGTACTGACGTGACAGTTAATAAATTAGTATGATTATATATTTAGTCACTCTTATTTTTATATTCTATCAATATGATCCTAATTTTAATAAATTAAAATAAAATTAACCATCTAATCAGATTGTGACACGTGTGACAATGTGAATGGAGGATATTTTTTAAAAATTTAATTATTTGACTGTTATTATACCAATTTTACTAACTGCAACGTTAGCACTCGCGTTAACTGTTAACGGCAAGTGGCCTGATTAAATGCATTTAAATAGTTGGATGGCTAAAAAATAGTGATCAAAATAAAAAGAGGCTATAGTTAGATAGTCACTGATATAGTTTACCCAATTAAAACAAACGCTAAACAACTAAAATAAAAAAATATAACTCGAATGTTTTTCAGTTAATCCTAATAAAAAATGTAGAATCAATTTATAAATTATAATACAAAGTTCAAAGTAAATTCTAGAAACCGAAATAATATATTTTGGTATGAGAAGGCATTATAAATCCAAAGAAGGTGCAAAAAAGATTCGACAGTAAATATAGAATAAGAATAAGAAACACGGCGTCGTTTCATAGTTATGCCAAGTGCAACTCAGTCGACTAACCTAGATTCGCGGTTACACCCTCGTAGTCCTCTGGGAAATTTTCAGTGAGAAATTTTGTTTCGTCGTCTTTGCTTAGTTGTACACGGAAATGGAATTCTCTTTCAGTCGTTTTCAATTTCCTAATGAAAAGCGCCGCGCCTTGTCAATTAAGTTCACATGCACGTCAACTCATCTTTACCAACGACATACATAATTACTAATCCAAAGGTCTCGCCTTTTTTTTTATTTAACGTTTTTATGTGCAAAGTGGAAGAGAATGCATTGTTACGCGGCCTATGTGTGGGTCAATAGTCATAATCAAATAACATATTTTTTTAATTTGTAAGGTTTAGTTAATCATCATTTAAAAAAAGGGTTGTGTTAATCATCCACTTTTGGCGACGTCAATGATCATCGCCATGACATTCACGACCGTCGGAACAAGTTTTTCTCAGAATTAATGCAAGTATTGATCCTTGGCGTCAAAATCACGTTGATTCGTCACGGATAGTGATAGAGGAGTTGGAATCTTAGGATTTATCTTCGCGTGAATTAAAAGAAAATGCATATTTCTGTTTTAATTAATATAAAAATAACACGAATCAAATTACCTTAGAGGTTAAAGGGATGGTTTTTGTTCCTAAAGATCCCGGGTTCAAGTTTCAACTTCTGTAAACAAAGATGTTCGAGTCTTTATTGTCAACTGATTTAGAATCTTTAAAACATAACTACCTTGTAATAGTGTATTCTATCTCGATGAATCGAGTATGCAATTAGTTATAGTTAAATGTGAAATTTCATGCTTTTTAAGTTACATTCGATCGGATGAACATGTAACGTTACATTTTAAGTTAAAATCGAATATGTTGTATTATAGTTGTGAAAAATGTTATATTAATTAAGTTTTGGATTTATTGGTATCAATAAAACTTTTTTTAAACGTATTTAAGCCCCAAGGACACTATCATTAGGGCCAAGAAGGTCATTGATCTTATCGAGACATGGACATTCCCTTGAAATTAAGGGAATCCCACAAACAAAGGTACACATACTGCCATACAAAACAATCTAGCAAAAAGCCAAAAACTAGTGGGGGAACAAATCCATGTAACAGTCCTATAATTATGGAATAGGAGTGGTTCCCCTGCCCTAAAAGCCACTTATTGTAGCCAAAACAACAAACTTTGAATTCAGAATTAGAATAAAGGGTTGGTGACTATAATTTTGTGGTTCAAACAAAAATCTAATCATTTCTGTTGTGACAATCCAACGGCAGAATCACACACGGAAAAATTACAGTACGATAGCAGAAATATCCAGGGGTATGCTACTATATATATTTATATATACCGATTCTCAACTGACAAGAACAAGAAGCGGAACCAAGCAAAATTATACAAGTGACTGAAAAACAAATATAAGTGATCCGGAAATAAATAGCATCGCAACATGAACAAGAATCAATTGCCATCGTTGTATCCATCATAGGGTTTGGTGGATTTCTGGGATCTTCTCTTAAAAACTACCGCCCAAGTAATGGCTTCCAAGAGCAAGGAAATCGCTCCCAAGGCAATGATCACGATCATGTAAGCTGTTTTCCATTTATGTTCAGGACTCAAGATGTTGAGACCCTTGAACACGTTGATGATGCCGAGGACGAGGATGGCGTACCCGAAGCTGTGGTGGTAAATGTTCCAGTATAATCGATACTTGTGATCCTTCTTTGGCCTTACGAACAAGGCGAAAATCTAACAAGGAGTCAAACAATGAGTTGCTAGATTCACATAATTGTGAAGAACCAGAATTTGACAAACTAAGAATCGATCCGAAGTTATGGAAATTTCCCTCGGATTATAGGAATTCAAGAAATATACCTGCACAGTAGCAAGAACAAAGAGGGCAATTCCAATGTTTCTATGAGTTGAATATGTAATCCCTGAGGATTCACTGCCAAGCTTAAGGCCAGTTGCCCAGCCAGCAACTCCTATGGCATAAGCTGATACTTGACAGAAGGCATGAAGATAAAACCAGGCTGGATCTGCAGATTCAAATGTTCTTATGTAGCGTGCAATCATTGCCCCGAGCGGAAACAAAATTCCCCAACTCACAGCATTTAGAACTCCATGAATCTGAAACCAGTATTTTTTTTGGGTCAAATTTCAACAAATTCATCAAAAACCCTAATCAATCTAAGCTTACAAGAAGCTCTAAAAGAAATCATAATAATTAATTGAAAAGGAAACTCACATTTTTCTTCTTAAGCTTGTCGTTTCCTCCGGAACCAGTGGTACTCTGTCCACCTTTCAAATCTAAGGTTCCTTTAGCTTGCAAATTAGCGGCGACGAAGTCGTGTTTCTCCAGCATGCCATCGGCTCCTACGCCGGGACCCACTTGCCAGACCTGATTAATCCTCCCACTGGCCGCTAAATCTGCCGGCACCTTAATTTTAGCAAAAATCGCCAAACTCCCGTCGCTTCTACTCTCCGCCTTCTTATCCCAAACCTCGAACGACAGATCCTTGGGCAAAATCGAACTGTACGAGGCGACGTCAAAGGTAAGGACCTGGGCGGCGCCGGTGGAAGTGTTTTTGTAGGCGACGATGGATTGTGAACCCGCCATGCCGGTGGCCTTCGGGTTTATGGCCCACGCGATCCACCCGCCTGATTTGGAAGGAGTGGCGACGAAGGCGACGGAGAGAGTGGTGTTGGTGGAATCGTAAGAGAAGTGGAGGTAAGATGACAGAGAAGGAAGGTCGAGGCAGTTAGGGTACACATGGTTTTGGGTGAACTTCTGGGAGGAGCATGTAAGAGACGCCGCCGGTGAAATTATCAGTGCCCAAAAGAATAGCCACATAACAGCCGGTGGCGGCAGCGAAGAAGACGGAACCATTTTTTTTCTTTACTTTCCTCTTCTTTTTTCTCGGACAAAAAAACACAAAAAGGAAAGAATAACGGCTAACCGGCGAAGTGAGGAGGGTTGAAAATTGGCGGAATAAATAGAGGCCATTAATTACTCAACTAATCATTTGTTAACACGTGTCTAATCTCTTTTTTATGGAGAGCACTCGCTATATAGAGGGAATTTACCAGAAAGATAATAAAATCAATAATTTTATGAAATTGTTTTTTCAGTTTTGACTGTTCAGTTGAAGACACTAAAATCCTATGACGCTAGCCATGTTTAATTTCGTGTCCTGGAAGCACCTTTTAAAATAATTAAACTATAATAATTGACAAATATACATATTTAATAATTCCAGCCAAATAAACATATTACTCATTAAATTGGAATTTAATTAGTCCAAAGTGGAACATTATATCTATCTTGCCTTTGCATTCAAGTTTCCCACACTTGTATGTATCATACACATACTGCTAGGATAAGGAATATATTGGCAAATGGAATTAATTTAAACTCTATAATGTTTGTTAGAAAAGGTACAATACAATGAACATGGCCTCAAAAGGTTTTTAAATTAATTTTATTTTCTAGTTTTTTAGCTATTTTTCTAAAACTTAACCAATATAGTTATAAAAGGATTTGATGCTTATCCTATTACTAATTTCATAATTAATATATTAGTTACATTTTTAGTAAATATATTTTAAATCTTCGATATTAATATTTAAATTTTTAATTAAGTGTGAATCAAGCGATCTTAATGAGTAAGACGCTTATTGTTATCATTTGATATCTTAAGTTCGAGCACCGCATATGTAAGATGTATGAACATTTATTGTTAAATGAATTAAAGTGTTCTTTGAACAAATATTACCGTGTATAAATGACTTGAGTGAAGATACATCAATGGCGTGCTTAATTTCCAAAGGAAGCCTAGTCAATGACTTGTGTGAAGGTACATCAATGGCGTTTTCCTTTTAGTGCGGGAGATATTTACCCTCCAAGTCAATGGTTAGTGCCTCAGTTATTGATCCATTAATTCTCAATTAAAAATTAATCCAAATTGGAAATGTTGTTGGCAATTCGGCCTCTCTTGGGGAAGACAAAGTGGCAAACTCCACAAGCCCACATCTCCCAAACTAACATCCTTTCTTGCTAGCAGCCAACACGTTTACATTTAATCTGTCTTTGTTCATACTCATCTATTATTCGGGTCGAATTAAAATATACCAATTAAAAATAAAGTAGTATTTTTTTTATAGGGGTGTTTAAAAAAATTTGTAACCATTAATCGGTATATTTGTTACATTTAATATATTAATTAATCGAATTGTTAATATTAAACGATTTCAGTTAATCGAACCGCTAAAAATTATGATTAACGGATTATGTTACGGTTATGAATTTTAATAAACGGTTAACCAACAGTTAACCATTAATAAATTAAATTTATAATTGTATTTCTAATTTGTTATGTTTTTACACAAATAGCTTAATACAATTTCTATTATTTCTAATTTTTATACATTTTAAATAAATTTTGTACCCAAATAACTTAATATATATATTTTATTATTTTTAATTTTTTTTTGAAAATATAACATACTTACACCAATATAATTATTTGTTTATTGTTGGCTATCAAGATGTTGGGAGATGTACATACTTACATTGATGTAAGTATGTGTTAAGTGCTACATTTTTTTATTTTATTCACTTATATACATTGGCTGATCCATAAATTTAAGAACATGGATCCAAAAATTTAGTTTTCTTTTTTTAAAAGTACTAGGTATGTAAAAAAAATCTTAAGACATTAAACTAAATTTAACAAATTTTCCAAAATAATGAGATGCACTTTACTCATATGAGAGCTTAGTGCATCCAACCCTACTTACATCGGTGTAAGTATGTGTAAAGTGCTATACATTTTTGTAGTATGAATTACGAAAAATCTCATAACCATTATAATGGTTAATCGATTGTTTAAACTAAACCGCACGGTTAGCCATCCATAAACAACTCTAATCATTTCATCATTAGACCACGAGATTGATTTGATTTTTTTTTTCGTTCATTTGAATGGTTTAAAATCACATCTTTAAATTAATATCCATATTCAAGGGTATCAAGAGCATGAATTGTTTTCCTTTTGGAAAATTAAATAACATGTCCCCCCCTTTAACGTGATGCTTAGAATATTATCCACTGTAAAGATAAAAGGGGGGAAATAAAGGTGGGGCTTGGGTTTTACGCTGCAGCTATAACCCTAAGTGCCCTACAGATGTTTTTGGCTTTACTTTTAGTTAGCACTACTTCATGTAAAAATGCAATTGTATGTTTCTTCCGGGCGGCGGGGGGGGGGGGGGGGGAACTACGTTAGGGTAAGTATGCCAATAGTCCCTAAATCATAATTTTCATATCGTCTAGGTCATTAAATTTTAAAAATAAAAAAGCATTAATTTTTCCAAATTATTATAAAATGATAACAGTGATGTTACAATAACTTTTGATAAATTTAAAGACCATTTTGACATAGTTTGACAAATTTAATGATCATTTTATTATTTTACAATGATAAATTTATAACAATTTCATAAATTTTAGGGTAAAGTATAGTAATGGTCACTAAACTTTTCTAAAGCTTTCAGTTAGGTCTCCCAATTTTTAAAACTTACAATAGAGTCCCCCAACATTTAGTCTGTTTGTAATATGGTATCCCAACAGTTACGTCTTTAATAAGAAATTAAATATCATATAATAAATTGTATGTAATTCAAAAATATATTTTAAAAATAATTAACGGGTAAATTTATTTAATTTTGCATGAATGTTCAAAATCAATCATATATTCTTAAATTGTAAAAACATAGCATTTAAATTTTATAATAATTTTATTCTAGGTCTCAAACCCAATTTTTCTTGTTTGACTTTTCAGTCTTGTAAATATCGTATTTATTCAATTATATATGTAAAAATAGGGAAGTTTCATTGGATTATATTTTATATAAATAAATAATTATACAAAAATATATATTTTACTTCTTCGATTTCAAGTCCTGATTTGTTCACGTAATTCGCAGTCAACCAGACAAGAGAATGCAGAAAAAAAAGAGTACTAAAGAACAAGAAAGTATGGTTCGTTCATGGTATCCACAAATGACAGACATATATTGATGATCAGATCATCCCGATCGAGAAAAGAAAAGCTTATTGCTGTTGTTGATTGGCACAGGAACCTTTTTAAGCAACCTTATGATTTATTCACTTTCTCTGGTGGTGGGGAAAAGAATACCCGGAAAACCGACGCAGCCAATATAGTTCCGATGAACGGACAGATCCAATAAACATAAAAATGATCCCATGTGGTGTGTTGGCTGTATACATATGCCCAACCAAAGGCCTGCAATATGATTCACATCTCCAAATGCATTTAGAATGTAAAACAATGTCTGCACTAATAACACACAGTTGCTTTCGAAAAGAAATGCAGGACATGACAGGTTAGGATTTACAAACTTACGAAACTTAAAGAATCGATGAGAGGTGAGGAATAAATGCATAATATGATGCATATTTACACTGGAGTATAACATTATTGACTAGGAAGTGTAATCAGGATTTCAAGGAGATGATGCAATAGGAAGACAAGGTAAATGATGAAATCTGAAGGAAGCAACACAAAGGACCCTCAATGGAAGGTCCAGTGTAAGCAGAGCCAAACGTTACTAATGTTACAACCACAAGATGCAATAGGAAGACAAGGTAAATGATGAAATCTGAAGGAAGCAACACAAAGGACCCTCAATGGAAGGTCCAGTGTAAGCAGAGCCAAACGTTACTAATGTTACAACCACAATGGAAATCAACCATGTCTTGAATATTGAACTCTGTGGGCCTCTAAGGATTATAAAAAGAACATCAAAGGCAATTAAAAATGTCAAGACCCCCTCAGCAATGGCTCCAGTGTGTGTATCTACTTTCAAAGATGGTCCCCCTATCAGGTGCTTGTATTGTTCCGGGATCGCCTCCATGATTGCCAGGGCACCACCCAAGGCACCAGCAGCCTGCCAGTGAAACACTCCATTTTCAGTAATGTACATCAACATTGTAGCTTTAGCTACTTGTTCAATTTCATTTTTAAACATCTTAAGATGACATATCTCTCTTGCTAGAAAGGAAAAGCAAGACAAGGATTTTAACATGAATGGTTCTTTGCAATTTAATTTTATCTCAAAACAACACAATCTTGACGGTTGACACACAACACGACATGAATACACAACTACACAAATTGAAAGGAAAAAAAGAAGACTAACAACAAATTGCTAGCAAGTAAAGATAATGAATATTTGAAAGTAACACAAAGAAAATAACTAAAGCTAGAGTGTTAACAGTTAAAAGATCAATATTATTTTTAGGGTAAAGTATAATAATGGTCACTGAACTTTTCTAAAGCTTTCATTTAGGTCCCCCAACTTTTAAAACTTGCAATACAATCTCCCAACATTTAGTCCGTTTGCAATATGGTCCCCCAACAGTTATGTCAGGGACCATATTGCAAAGAGACTAAATGTTGAGGGGCCATATTGCAAACGGACTAAATGTTGGGGGATTGTATTGCAAGTTTTAAAAGTTGGAAGACCTAAATGAAAGCTTTAGAAAAGTTAAGTGACAAAAAAAACATAATTTAGGGACAACTGGTGTGCTTCACCGGAAATGATTGAATTGTATGTAGCAAACGAAAACAAAATTTTTAGGGTAAATTATGCATTTATACCTAAACTATTAATTTTAGTATATTTTAATATCTAAACTTTACATTTTTTTTTCAAAATCATACCTCATGTTCAGTTTTTGTTTCGTTTTAGTGTCATGATAAAGGATGATTTGCACGTGGTACCTTTTTATGGGTAAATTACATCATTCACCACTCAACTATCTTCTCACTCCTATTTTATTTACTAAAGTATAATTTTTTTAATTTAATTACTTAACTTTTAAATTACTCCTAATTTAATCATTCAAACTTTCAAATATATATATTTTTTATTACTTATTAATAAAATAATAATAAAAATGTCATGCTACGAAAATTATGATTAAAATAAATTAGAGTGATTAAAATAGGAGCAATTTGAAATTTGAGTAGTTAAATTGAAGATTTTTAAACTTTAGTACCAAAATAGGTATGAGAAAATGGTTGTGTGATGAATGGTGTAATTTACCCATAAAAACACAGTGCCATTAAGTTTTTAACGATGAGGTACTAAAATGAAATAAAAACTAAATATTAGATATGATTTTGAAAGAATTAAAAGTATATATACTAAACCAGATTAAAACTAATATTTTATGTACTAAATCCATAAATTACCCAAACGTTTATCACGAGGGACGCTAATTTTGCAGTCTACCTACCCAAGTACTAATGGCTCATACACATTAGGATGAAAAACAAATGCCATTAATATTTCATGATAATTTATCCCCGAGAAAAATGATTACAGGGGAAAGATGAAATTAGATGTTTCGTGCTTTAAATCATTCATTATGTTTCCCATCTTTTATTTTTGAAAATAATTAAAATCACATCAAAATTATCAAGGAAATAAATCCCAAGATCCAAAATCCTGCATTCATTTCACTAGCCCAGTATCCCGAGTTGGAATTAGCAACAGCCTGCGCTGACGGTGAAGGAGATGAGGCAGCCGGACTCAGTTTCTCGACCAGCTGCAACTCCCCGACTGCAGCCAAATTGGCTTTAGCAAACTCATGTTTCATCGGGTGGCCATCGACGCCCCCCTGCCCAACTTGCCAAACCTGGTTCAACTTCTTCGCACTGGCCGCAACTTTCACGGAGCCATATATAACCATCTTCCCGTCTTTGTCGGACTCGGCTTCCAAATCCCAAACATCGAACGAAAGCTTCCCTTCCACGACGGAGCTGTAGGAGCTTATGTTGTAGGTCTTGACAACCATGGACCCATTAGCTTTGAAGGCCAACAGCGCTTGCGAACCCGCCATGCCGGTGGCTGTCGGGTTGACGGCCCAAGCGATCCAACCGTCGGGCTTCGGCGGAGGTACCGAGAAGGCGATGGAAAGAGACGAATTGGTGGCGTCGTAGGTGAAATGTAGAGTCGAGTTCAAGACCGGGAGCTCCGTACAATTGGCGTATTGTTTTTTGCCGCCGGTGAGTTTCAGCGACGAGCAATCGGTTGCATGTGTGGCTGAGATCAGAGAGATGCAAAGGAGCAAAAGTAGAGATAGCGAAGAATTAGACCGCATTTTCAAAAATTCCCCACAAAAATCTTCCTTTCTGGTATTGCTAATGGCCGATCGAATGATGCCGTTTAACCGGAATATATAAAGGACGGAAGAGACTAAAAGTGGAAATTTAATGCTGGTCAATAGATTGACGCCACGCTGGATTCCTGTTTCTGAATATTGGACGTGGCGGTTTATGATTCTCAACTCGTGAATACACTCGCTAGAACAGAGAAGGAAAATTTAATAAAGCAGATTATAAATATGGATTATGGCCTTATGGGTGGTGGTGGTGGGCATTACACGTGGGTTCAATGTTCAGAATAAATGGGGGAATGATAAGGCGTTCAAGCTGTCACCGATGTGAGTGCCAAGATGGTGACTTGCGTTTTGGGAATAGTCCTCCGGTGGATTTCTTCACCAATATTTTTTTTTATTTTAATATTTAATTTTTTATGTTATCTCATATAATTTATCATAATTAAATTATAACTTTAAAATCATTTATCTGAAAATTATATTAAAATATAATTTGATTTTCAGAAATTTATAAATTATATTTTCTTTATCTGCGTAATTATAGTTTTTTAGGGTATGGCAATGAAGTGACATGGATGAAAATGACAATCAAAGTTACTGCTTTACGACTAAAACTGACAGTCTTGCGCAACAATCTTTGATTATTTCTATTGAGTTTCTCCACTAAATACAAATTCCAACTCAATCATTTAAAAACAGATCTAAACGTGTAAGATTCAGATCCCTTCCTCCCAGCCATTCTTTCCCAAAATGTTCACTCACCGAGTTGCATACCGTTACCAGCACCGAGCTGATGAAGTACCCCATCGACGTCGAGCACCACGACAACGCCATGCTCATACTCCGCATGCTATCCGGAGCCTCGGAGTAGAAGAATTCGAGCATTCCCCCCAGCGTCAACATATCCGATATGCCGAGTAACAAGTACTGCCACATGTGCCAGAAAACGGATAAAGATGACACCGTTATTCGCTGCCTCGCGCCTCTGAACCTCGACTATAGCAGCAGCAGCAGCAGCCATCGACGCTGATGCCAGAGCCAGCCCGAGTCCGATCCGCCGCAGAGGTTGGTACCATTTGAGCATCCCCGGACGGTTGTTGTTCTTTAATCGTAACATGCAAATGAAATACTCATACAGCGGTATCGAGGAACACCGATAACGACTGAGTTGGGATGTTCAAATTGTTAAGTGATCTATCCATGATGTTCCCTTGTTGAACTAAGAAAGTCGCTCTCATAGATTGAAAATGAATAACACTAGAGGCGATAAAGGAACCTACATGGCAGAATTCTCAAGTGTTCTGAGAATCAGTATTTGGAATTTCCACATCCAGAACGTCATCTTCACCATTATTCAAAGACAAATCCGCCATGTTGTTTTCCATTGAAGGCACCAGGAAGAGGGGGAGAAGAAGACGACAAAAGGAAGAGACGTGCTACGAAGCAGAGGAATCGTGAGAACACTAGCTTTTTATAAAAGTGTGAAACATTTTTTCCCCTTCATTTTTAAACGTGAAAATAGAGCACATATACAGACCCACGCAAACGTATATATGCTCGGTTAAGCTAAGCAGAGACATTGTGTCTATAAATTTAAATTAATTTTAGTTCTAAATTTTTAATTTCGTGATGAATTAAAATAATGAATTATTAAATCTATAATAGTTAGACGATGCAATAGTTTAGAGTAGGGGTGAATAAAACTCAATTCAACTAGAAAAATTAATTTTTTTATATTACTCAACTCGAATTAACTTCTAGTTGTAATTTCATAAACTCGACTCGACTAAAAAAAAAATTCAAGTTCAAACCGAGTTATCAAATACAACTTGAATAACTCGAATAACTCAAAATTTTTAGTAATTAGTAGATTGATTTTCAAGTTTGAGTTGTCACTCGACTTTGTATCATAAATGTATATAACATATAAAAAATATAAATAAATACACATGTAATGTATATGGTTATAAAAACCATTTAAATTATAATCAAATAATATCATAATATTATAAATATTTATAATTAAATTTAACAAAAACTCAAAAATTCAACTCGACTCGACTCGTAAAAAAATTTAAGTCAACTTCAAATTGTAAAATAGGACACATCAACTCGAATAACTTGAATTTTTTTGACTTGACTCGATTGAACACTCACCCTAATTTGAAGTTGTTTGCATAGACATGGAAACTAAAAGGTATTTTATCATTTCATATTCTTTATAAAAATTAAAATGGTGGAAAGTCATCATTTTTCATATCTTTTACAATCATTCTAAATACTATTAAACTTATGTCATTATCGTTCACCATTTTATTAATTTTTTTCTAAACCTCTTTTAAATTTGTAAAATTAAACACAAAAATATACTATTTTAGAGGTTTGTTGTGTTTTTATTCGAAAGTCTAAACAATGATAAGTATTTTTTTGAGATGATGAATAACATACATTGTAACTATCCTCATCATACGATAATGAGAGGAGATTGGAGAATTAGAGTGTCAAATGCTTTGGTATTTATATTATTTCAAATAACAATTAGTGGTAGGTAGCGATTGAGCAACGACGATGGTTAGAAGAGTTGATGATTTTCTGCAAAGACCAAATTGATACATAAACTAAAGATCAATGTCTAAAATTAAAGCATGTTAAAATTTAGAGACAAAATTGATTAGCAAACTAAAGTTCACGCGAAAGAAATGACCACATCATCATGTCGTTAATGATTAACGGTTCAGTGACCTAGTTAAACTTGAAACTAAAATTCAGTCTAAAAATTGAAATATTTTAAAATTAAGTGTAAAAATTGTTACATAACTTAAAATTAAATGATATTAAACGTAGTTTGCCCATAAAACATACAAATACTTGATCGAAGTCTTGTAACTTAAAATTATGGGTAAATTACACGTTTGGTAATTAAACTTTACTCTCTCTCCTATTTCACTCATCGTACCTTCAATTTTTTCAATTGTTTCACTGAACTTTATAGATTGAATTTTTTTGTCGCTATGCCGTTAAGTAATTCTTATATCTATCTGTGATTTCACCCGTTTCTGTTAGAATTTTCTCTTAAAATTCATTTTTCTATTTGATTTGTTTAACATAGTTCACCTTTCGTGGTTGTGCTTTGATTTTTTCTAATTATTTTTTAATCAGGAAGAAATGGATGTCCCTCTGCTGTCCAAGAAGATTGTGAAGAAGCGTGTCAAGAAGTTCAAGAGGTCTCAAAGTGATCGCAAGGTTTTCTTTAAAATCTGCTTTCTAATGGGTTTAACTTGTGTTTACTCGATAGTTTCATTACTACGTATCATTTTTAGTTCCATTTACTGGAAGCTAAGAATTCTAATTGCGTAGGTTATTTATTGGACAAATGCTTTCTAATGGGTTTAACTTGTGTTTTCTCTTCCATGGAAATGCTTTGGTGAATTAATTGTTTGAAAGAGCAACAATGACCAATGCAGGAAGTGCTATTTCAATTTTTCGATTTAAGATTTAGCTATTAAGTATTAGTGTCTGTATGGGGGAACTTATTTCCGAGTGTCGGAACCGTCTTTCGGTTGGACCCCGGATTTAGGCTTCGACTTGAATGAATTGGGTTAGAGTCGCCACCGACAATTTTAAAACGAATTTAGGTGGGTCGGACACCATCTTACCTGATCTGCGTTGTACCAGAAACGTGTCGGGTTCGGGAGTCGGTTACGGTCAGTGAAGGATTAACACCCTTGAACCGCTCTTTCGGTACCAATTAATTTATCGGTTGTCTTTAATTGCGAAAATTAAAATTGAAATTTAAAAACCCGATTCAAATTATTTACCTTCGGTTGAAATTACTACCGAAGAAAAAATAAATAAAATGGTAGATGACAAAATAAAATATTGAATGCTAAACAAAAAGAAAAAAATGAATAATAAATAATAAATAATAAAACATATAAATAAAAAATAAAAAATAATGTATTATCATTTCCTAATTCCTATTTATTATGACAAATTAACATGAGAAACACCAACATGTGAAATAAGCACAACAAATATAGAACTCATCAATTTCAAAACAGTCAGCGTTGGTATTTTATAAAGCAGAAAAAAATAACAATTTGTCCATTGCATATCATGGGGTTATCCAGCTCATTGTTCAAAGGCATTTAATATCCATCTAGTTATAAAATTCCGCAAACAAACACGTTCCAAAACAACAAAAGCAATTAAAAAAACCTTTCGATCTGCAAATGGAAATTAAAGTATGTGTATTCAGCTCAGCTACAAATCCTTAGTGCTTCTTCTTGCTTGCTTTTGCACCACTGGTGTAACACCGGACTTGGATTTAAATGTCTTGGGATCGTGTAAAGCAGCAACACACTGGGTGTTTTGTGTTTCAGACTCTAGAATGTGGTCCCACGTTTTTCTCTGTGTCATTTCCTATTGATGCTTGAGTCTATTTATAGTCTAAAGAAACCTATTTTTAGCTCAGATTTAGAGTCCTACTTGGACTCAAATGCTTCGGTTTTAGTGTTTTAATATGATTCAAATACGTTGGTTTTAGTGTTTCAATAGAACTCAAATATGTTAATTTATTTTCTGAATCTCACTAAATCAGGGTTGTTGAGTATAAGGCCTGCAAAAATAATAAAAAATATTAATAATAATAATAAATATAATATAATATAATAAAATGTTTTTGTAGACCGAACAAAAACGGGTGTATACACCGAGGATTTTCGTGGAACTCATTAATGATTTTATTCCATTCTGGTTTATTTTAATTTGGACTGCTAGAAGTTTAGAAGTCCCACGTCGGCCTATGATAATGTTAACTATGATGCCTTACTAATTTAACAGCCGTGCATGTATTTTGGATTTTCGTGTTTTTTTTTTGTATTGATTGATAACTAGTCAGACACTGGACATGCGACCTTTTGAGAGCTTTAATTCTCTTGTCGGGAATAGGAAATTGGTAATTTTATTTTGCTAGAGTATTCCATGCTTCGTGTGGTCTAACAGTATTGCATTGAAGATTAGATTTAGATGCCGACTCCTTTGGTATACATGCTAATTTCATAATGCAACATCTGAAATCATGGTCTTGATGTGGGAGTCCGATTATATTTATGAAGCATTGTCATATATCCTCTAGATAAAGGTTTTCACAGCAGTGCCTAGTCTCGCATTATGTTAGCAATTTAACCAGGAATGCGTCTTGAACCTAAGCTTATGTTTGATCAACTTGCCACATTGTGTCTTGTTTCCAAATAGTAGAGTCATTTTATTCACCATCCCAGAGTCTTGAAACATGTATGTATATATCTGTATATGGCAACCTTTAATTCATCATGGCTGGTTTAGTTCTCATTTATATTAAAAAAGGGACAGTCCCACTTTCTATAGTTTTTACAAGGTTTTTGTGTTTTGGCAGGAAAACTGGCGAAGGCCCAAGGGTATCGACTCCGTGTTAGACGGAAGTTCAAGGGATGCACTCTGATGCCGAATATTGGTTATGGCTCAGACAAGAAGACTCGCCACTATCTACCCAATGGATTTAACAAGTTTGTCGTGCACAATGTCCAAGAGCTTGAGCTTCTCATGATGCACAACAGGTATGACATATAATTACATATCCCTTCTAACCACATTTTTGTTGATTAGCATTTTCTTGCCTCTTTTTCTTCTAATTATTGATGCAATATCAGGACATACTGTGCCGAGATAGCCCATGATGTTTCAACAAAGAAGGGGAAGGAAATTGTTGAGCGCGCTGCGCAGTTGGACGTTGTTGTAACCAACATATTGGCTAGGTTGCGCGGCCAAGAGGACGAGTAAAAGGGTTTACCCATTTTGGATGTTGGCTTGCTTTTTAGTATACTACATTTAATGGTTTAGTAAGTTTCCGAATTTTGGATCGATTTTTTTTTTGTTATTGCTTGTATTGCATGCTTTTATGTCAAGATTATATGATTAAATTTTATTATATTGATTAAACTTATAAGTTACAACCACAGTTACACTTGATGCATATTTAAATATAGGAAAACTGCTGTCAAATAATTTTAAAAACTGCACAAGTAGAGCTGAATGGATGATATTTGATATTAGGGTTTATAGTTTAGGGTTAGGGTTAATAGTTAAGAGGATTTGTATACGTTGAGATTTTTATTCAATGTAAGATTTTATTAATAGGTACACTCATAACTATTAAAGTAGGTAGGTTATAGTTTTATTAATAGGTACACATACATGGCATCAACCTCTGAATTCATTAGAGAATTAGGCTGTATGTCGCATTCATGATTTAAAGTGTTTATGTACCGTGGTAGTTAACCGTCGCATTTGCATTTAATTCAGTGACCACAATTCTTATTTCATTCTTTCTCCATTTCATCCCATCCCACACTTTTTTTTAAAAAATGTTCTTTATATTTCTGAAATGATATTTAATTTAAAATGCAAAAATGAGTCTTAAATAAGTTTTTATACTATTATTTTTCCTAAACGAGGTTTTATCAGTTTTCATGTAATGTTTTTTAAGTGAAATGCTAATTCGTGATAAAAATCTTATCTTTGTACGAATTATACCACTTCAAAGTCAAATATTTTTATTATTTGAAAACTTGTGGTTTGGGTAAGATAATTGAGGTTTAACAAGAATGGTGGTGGCTTTAATTTCTTTTCATGACACCCTTTGAAAGCAACCACCGCACCACATGAAATTCAAACAACAATAATTATAGCAGTATCTTTCTTTTCTATGTAACAAGTTTTGACTGATTTATTTTAATGTAATTAGGGGGAAATAAATGACTAAATTCTAAAAATAATAGTTAAATATTAAAAATTATTTTAAAAACAAAATGAAAATTGGTCTTAACTTCAATTTTTTTAAAAATAATTTCCCAATTGGGTTTATATCATCCAAGTAATGATATTGACTAAATCAAGAGTTATTGTTATAAATTAATTAGTTTGGTAACCATTGATTCCCAACCCATAGGTCCATGTGTGCTTAACTTATTTCCACAATAAAATATGAAATCACATGTTTAGGTTGCTCCTAGTCATAGATATTCATATGGCCAGTTTCTGATGGTAGTTGGTTGCCCCTAGTCATAGATATGGCCAGTTTCTAATGGTAGTTGGTTGCCCTTGCCACCTTACCGTAATGAATGTTATTTATATTTTTCAATTGATGAAAGATATAATGAAGCTAAATACTATAAGAGTAGGGTTAAAATCAGTAATAAAATGTGTTTACATTTAAATATAACAATAGTGATATGATTAAATATTACTTTCTCATATATCTATTTACATTTCAACAATCCTACCTTGTTTAGAGATAAATGTTCACCTTATTTATTTAATGTGGTACTTATATTTTAATAATATTATATATATACACACACTTTTAACGTTTAGCATTACATACTTAAATGATATGTTTTTATTACATGTCGAAAACTTCGTTTGATTGTTTTTTTTTCATTTTAGGACTTTGGTTTTACATAGCAAGCAGCTTGAATATAATGCCCCGTTTGTTCTTTATGTGTATTTTATGTAGACTATTTGGCCAACTGTAATTTATATTCTATAGGTCCTTGAATTCAAACGCAAGTTCTGATACCTCACCATGGGTGTTTGACCTATTAATGAAGGGAAAATTGTAAGGTTCTAGATGCTTAATTGCTGAGATCTAGAATTGAAGGACAAGGTGAGGTACGACCGGCCAGCCTGGTGTCTATTTGAATCTTGATTTTTTTTTAAAAGGACGTAATTACACATTATCACTATGTTATTGGAGCTGATTTTACAGCATAAAAGTGATGCAGTAATGATACCTCAACTTGACCACATCAAATATGTGTAACACATTCAATGATTCTCATAATTTTGCCCCTTTTTTTCCTTTTAAATCATGGAACAGTCGTCGACACACGGGTACACATCGCCATCCCACCCACCGTGGCTTCACTCGAGAATTATGACCACGCGCTGCATTACATGATACAAAGAAATTTTAAATATTAAATGCAAGTTTTACAGCAATATCTCTCATAGTTTTCCGGCAATCGAGATGCTTTCCTCGTCTCTAATGAATGATGATTTTTCGGGGGTGATCGTCGACTCGTATGTGTTCAGCTTGTGTGTTCCAATCAGCAGGAGGTGCCTTTCATTTATCTCCAATAGGAGTAGCTATTGGACGCAGTGGAGGTCGGACTAGAGGTGGCAATCGGTCATTTGGATCGCGGTCGGATCGGGTCATTTTAAGTATAGACCGTTCTGGCATTTTTCGGCTTAGGTTCGAGTCGAGTCAAATCGAATCTGGTTCTGGTTTAATTTGGGTCATTGAAAATTCAGTTCGGATATTGTCAAAGTCAATTTGTTTGATTTCGTGTTGGGTTAATATTGAATCGGTTGGTTTCGATTTGGGTCATCCATTAGACCATGTCGATTTCAAATTCGGGTCAAACTTTAGATTTTATGTCAATGGTTGTAATCTTTGTCGTCATAACTTTCGGTACTTTATTATTTATAATTTAAAAATTTTACATGAATATATATTGTTACATTACAAATTCAGAATTAGAAGTATAAGGATAACAGCTCAATTAATCTGCGACAAATGTTATATTGAACTATTAAACTATTACTAAAAGCGGTGGTTAACTAGAAACATAATATAAAATGAAAATAAAACATCATTTTACTATTTATCAATGCTAAAAATAGATAATAATAATAAGTAAATAATTCATTCATTCATTCACCTAGACTCGATTATCGATTTTCGGGTTAAAATCGTGTTGAAGTTCGATTCAATTAGGATACGTGTAAACTAAATTCGCGTTGCTTTTGATTTGAATTTTTCAGTTCGGATTATTTTCGGTTCAAGTTAATTTCCTTTCGGTTTATTTTTGGTCCAACAAATATTTTGATTGATTTTTGCTCTATTCAAGTTATTTCAAATTTTAGATCAAATTTAAATCATCTTATTTGAATCAATTTTAAATATCGATTCAAAATAAATTGATCTAAATAATCAGGCACGAATCAAATTTACAATAGGTCGGACCAGTGAAACTCAGCAGGGGTAGCTCCCATTTAACATTTATTTAACGTCTAAAAATGGCAAAGAGTCATTAAAGAAAAATAAAGTATTATTAAATTATATAAAAAAATTAATCACGGAATTTTTTAAAGTGATAATATAACCATCAACTGATTAATATATTATAAAATAGTATTTAAATTTATTAAGCTATTATAAAATAATATTCATAATTGTATATTTTAGTGATTATTTTTTAATCCTTTAAATAATAGTTTATAATATCATGATAATCATTTGGTGGTACATTACATGTTAACAAGGTTTGGTGCAACAATACTAAATTTTACGCGTGGAGACTTAAAAATAAACGTTAAACATTAAACACTCTTTACTCTTATTTATTCATTTAATTAAGCAACGTGACTTCAGCGATGACGTCACAGAAACCAAGCACCTAACATGGTATCGACATTTGATTCAGTCAATTAAACACGCGAGGGTTTTTGAAGACATAATGAACTTTTTTCTTCAAAATTTACTTTGAGAAAATAACTCATATATATATATATAATTTGATTCATATTTGATAAATAGAATTATGTTTATCTACAATAAAATTAAAAGAAGAAAATAATAATAAATGATGTAAAGTTAGAAGACAGAAAAATGATGATCTGCGGGGCGATGAAATTGGCCATTGTTTTTGTTTAATTTCTGAGAATCATCGGTGTTGGGATTCACATCATGTTTACCACCATCGCCGTTTGCCAATATTTCTTTGACAAATAGCTCCACGTCCGATCTCTTTATTCCATCCTTTTCCTCCACTGTAATCTCCTCCTCTGAATGTGCGGGAATATATGGTGGCCGTTGGATGCGCAGGATCAGATCCCAATCAATCCCCTTAAAATAATCGTGTCCCTTGATTCCTTCCAACGTGATCCTTTGCTTTGGATCTTTTTCCAGTAATTTCTTTATCAAGTGCCTCAACGGTGTCGGCTCGCCAACGAGTTCCGACGGTTTAGTTAAAATCCGGTAAAACGTTTCCTTCCTGGTTAAACCCCTAAACGGCGTCGTCCCGTATAGCATTTCGTGGAGGACGATGCCTAGCGACCACCAATCCACGGTAAAATCGTGACCTTCACCTGATACGATTTCTGGCGCCACGTACTCCTCTGTTCCCACGAACGAGTTTGACTTCTCCACATAGCTTGACTCAGTACGATCCTTACGGACGCTTGCTTGAGATGCCGCGTCGTCCGGAGCAATTCCAGAGTTACAGCACCTAACAAAAGGAAATAACTGCTTTTTCTTGACTGAGTCGGACGGACTCTTATTGACCGAGTTGGGAGGTATAGATTTCTCAGGCGATCTTGGAGAGAGTTTCGTGGAAAGATCGAAATCTACAAGCATGATATGACCGTTTTCTTGAATCAAAATATTTTCAGGCTTCAAATCTCGATAAACAACGCCTAAATTATGAAGATACTCCAGAGCCAGAACCAATTCCGCTGCATAAAATCTGTAAAAAAAAATAATATTAAAATTCAAACCAACAAATAAACTGAAATTTTAACATTACAAGTAATCATTTTTGTTTCATTTTTACCTTATCATATCGTCGGAGAACATTTTCTCAGTCTGTTTCTTCCTCAAAGAGTGAAGATCACGGCCGGGACAATAATCAATGGCGTAACCGACGACTTTATCGGTAGCCAAAACTCCTCGCAACGTCGGTAAAAGCGGATGGTTAAAAGTCCCCAATACTTCCTGTTCAAAACTAACTCTTCTATACTCGTTTTCATTAGTATTCTTCACATCTTTAGCATTCTTCTTTTCGATCGAATCTCGAGATATTACTTTCAAAGCTAAAATATCACCCTTCACTTTATCTCTGACAAGGAACACCACTCCTTTGGCTCCTCGTCCGAGAGCCGTGACGATTTCCAACCGATCTAAATCAAAGGTGGGAATTGAATGCTGTTGAGTTCGATCGAGTTGTTTCTGATCGTCTATCATGGCGGAGGGCGGAGGCTGGTGGATGACTGTGAGAAAATCAAATGGCTGTTTGTTTCCTGCCGCCTGGGGGTGTATTAGTTGGTGGCTGCAATTTATAAGGAATGAATGGTTTCAATTTATTTTTAAATTTTTAAATAAACAAAATTTCTTGCTGAGGAAGTTTTCAAAATTCAAAGAAGAGTGAGTTTCTGCGAGCCTGGATTTCGCCACGTGAGCAATTTCGGCGGTAAATATGTGACGTGGTGTTTTTTATTTATTTTATTTTCCCGAAAGTAGCATTGAATTAATATTTGTTCAAAACAATAGAAGATTAGAGGCGGGTGATTTAAATATTGGTGTTGGTGCTTCTAGAAAACGTGGAGATGTGGGGCAACAGAAATAGGGGTTTAACCGCTTGGTCCTCCAATTTTTCTTTTATCCACATCAGTCGTTGAACTTGAGTCTGTTTGATCAATCTGTAGTTATTTCATTGATGTTACACAGTCTCGAGCACTATATCGTCAAAAGGATTAAAATGAACAAATATCAAATTGAGAGATTAAATTAAATTTAGGGAGGGAAAGTTAATCTCTCCCTAATAGTAACAAAGTTGTTACGGTGTTGCCTCGAAATTCCGTCTTGGTCATAAAGTTTTCCTTTTTTACTAAGTGGAACAACTTTTTTCTGTAATGTACCCCATTTTGAAAATTCAGCATGTAACACGCCTCTCCCCTGTGATTTCCTGCTTGCAATAGAAAACAAAAATACAACTTCCCTTTTAGTTATTCCTATTTTTTTTTGGGTTGAAACGGGTACAAAGGGCTGTTTAGATGCCCGTTCTATCAGAAATCAGAAACTTCTCGGCTTCCTTGGGAGGGTTCTGCAGCAAAACTGAATCCCCTTGGTAACTCCATAATTGCCTGGTGATAACATCCGCTACTCGATTTGCCTCTCTAGGTATGTGCTTCAGTTCAACCATCCAACTATTAAAAGTTACAAAATAAATCTTTAACTATAGAGTGTTGCTTTGTTGAGTCTCTCGACTATTAGAAGTTGCAAAATGGTCATCCGACTATTCATTATGTTCCAAACTCGTCATTTTTCGTTAAAAATTTGAAAACAGTTTGAGTCAAACGTTAACATGTTGACTTTGATATGATAAACTTCGATCTTAGAATCTCAAGCGACTATCATATCTCAGTCATTATGTTAACGTCCAACTCATACGACAACCAAATTTTCAACGAAAAATGACGAGTTTAGAACATAATGAATAGTCAGATAATCATTATGTAACTTTTAATTGTCGAGAGGATCAACAAAACAACATTCTATAGTCGAAGAACCATATTGTAGCTTTTAGTAATCGAGAGACTTAATAAAGTAATATCTTATAGTCAAGGGATCATTTGTATATTTTACACTATTGTTAAATTCCTTTACGATTTATAAAATTAAAAGTTAGTGCATGGTAAAATGGCATCTTGGATTCCTTTAGGGGGTGTTTGGTTCAAGGATTGTGGGATTCACATTCCCATGTTTGGTTGGTCGGGAATCTCTTTCCCGGTAATGTTTTATTACCAATAGTAGATTTTTTGGGATATATTACCGGGAATGTCATTACATCCCTTCCCTTAGGTATTGTAATATTACCGACGTTTTGGACTAAAATGCCCTTAAATTTTTTTTCAAAAATATCATTCTTCTGTAATTGAATAATAAAAATTTTACGAATGTTAAATTACAAATTTATACTTAAATTATTTTAGATTTACAAAAAAAAATCTATAATTAAAATTTTATATGAAATTCAGGGGTTAAAAAAAATTTACCCTTTCATTAAACCTTTTTTATATTTTTAATTTTGTAAAAAAAATTATATAAATATTATGAATTTAATTTTTTAAAGAAAATATATAAATATTTTACAATTTGTAATATTATACAAATATATAATAAGGACAATTTAGTCAATTATACATTCCAATAATCTTTTATTCCTTTAACCAAACACGGTAATCTTACATTCCTGCTAAACCAACCAAACACAAAATACAACATTCCCAGCAATCATATTCTCTGATAATCTTTTATTCCCACTGGTAATCTTACATTCCGTGAACCAAACGCACCCTTAGTGATAAAATTATGATGTAATATTTTTAAATTTTATAAAAATATAAACTAGTACAATAAAATATTATATATTAACTTGTATAAAATTTTATATATCACGTTCAATCTTAAATAAAACTTTTGATTTCACTAATAAGTTGAGCTCTGGCCTCTTTTAAAGCATAGATTAAAGAAGTCTAGAATTTAATACTGTGGTAAGACAAAATGAATAAAGAAACCCTAAACGGAGCGTCAAGAACGACCGTTGTGTTCATTTCAGCAGCACAATTTGACCGAGAACGCCAAACTCTAATTCGTTATAGACACACACTGTGGGAATATTCAAATGCTTTCATCATTCTTATGGACGGGATGAAGCTCCGAGCAAGTACGCCTGCAAGACCTGGTCCAAGCGTGACTGAATTTCGATCCACTTTAATATCTGGGCCCTTTACGGGTCTATGTGCATTGGACAATGGCACTGCCTTCACCTTAAATTCAGGCCTTTGCAAGGATTGCTCAGGCACTTTGAGCCTCGTTATTCCCATCGGCTTTAAAGCGTCATCCTAATTTCAAAAGTACCTACTTTAAAATGATTCCCTGATTGAAAATGGTGGTTGGTATCACATCAAGAGACAAAATCACAACCATCATCGGCTATCAAACAACCAAATGACAGAAAATGAAATAAAATAAAATGCATGGTCGAATAATTGTTTGTGATTTTACTAATGGTCCAATAAAAAGACTATTCATCGTTGAAATTGCATGCATCTCCTCTCCTCTCGTTGTGATGTTTGGACATGTCCTATTGATCATTGGTTTTGTGGGTTGTCAATGAAAATAACCCGTCAGCTAATCTTTCATTAAAGGGACGCTCCCATGAATCAATTTATCACAGCTCATTTACCAGTGTCCTAATGCTTCCTTTTCCCCACCATGCCAAAGGACCGACGTTTTTCAACTTCATTTTGATTTGTGTGTCTCAAGTCCTGTCCGGGCGTTTCTCAACTATTTAATGTTTTCATGTTGTCTGTTATTTAGGCATAAAAAATGGTTAAATTCTTTTCAGCTCCAAACTTTCAAGATACATTCAATATAGGCTGACGGTTTTTCCTATTATGCCAGCTAAGATCAAATCGAATTACAAGTTCCGTATTTTACTGTTTCATAATTAGGTTGGTAAACGAACCGAACGTTCAACGAATCGTTCTTGGATCTTTATGCAATAAATCATTAATGGCAGCCTTAAACAGGCGATTTCAAGCTTCCTTAATACTCATATTTGTGTCGGTGAATAATATTTTACAATTCCACCCAAATGTTACTATAGATTGGCCGATGAATTTGACTAAAACCAAAAGCATGTTTTTTTATTTATAGAAAAGGCCTTCAAGATGATGTGAATTTAATCTAGGCTTTAGTGTAAATTTTTTGTTTGTTACATCAGGGATCCAATTGATATAATAATTATTTTTCAAAAGGAAAAGTAATTGAAGTTTTTATTATAAAGGATTAAAATAAAAAGTAAAGAAATTTAGGGGGTGGAATTTAACTTAAGAAAAGCCAATATGCCACTCCCAATTCACTCGTTTTCCTCCCTTTATTATTTTAGTAGGCCACTTTAATGGGTTCTTTTCAATACACGTGATTTTGTTTGTTATAATTATGGGGATATTTATATCCTCCATTTTAAGCTACAATATATATACCCAAATGCTTTTAATTTTCATATTAATTTCCAGAAAATTAACATAAAACCACGTGCACCAATTATATTTTGCTCAGTTCTATCTTATCCCGACCCATCGACGCCAATAATTCAACCTCCGAGGAAACTACACCTCTGATGTGACCTATTTTCTCATTTTAACGAGAAAAAAAAACATGAAGTAAGGTTCATTTGTTTCAAATTTACACGATTAATGAATGCCTTGATTTATATTTTTATGAGTAGAATTGTTGAAATGGTACTCCCTCACCAATCGACCCATGTGTAAGACCAGAGGCCATTACAGCATGGGGAAGACAAAGCATGCGCGTTTCACTTGGCAAGGTTACGAGCAAGCAGTCGACAGTGGCACATGGTTGACCCATCTTGGTGGTTTCAATTTGTTTGATTTAGCATACACCATTAACGACCTCTCCCCTACTTCCACCATCACCATGCATCCTGAAATGAACTCGAGACGTATTCAGGTCTGTCCATCTTCGGTTAAAAGGGCAATGGGTGTATATATCACTATCGGTTTTAATGGAACTCGATCTTCAAACACTCAATGAAGAGGAGACTACAAGAGGAAAATTGTGGCATTACCATTACATTTCGTAAGTATTGTAGGGGCAGTTACTGTTGCATTGAAGACTTTGGGGGCGGGACCGGCAGGGAAACAGGAATGGACCACAACACCAGAAATTACCAAACCATTCAATATGGACGCATTCTTCCCGTCTCATATTTAACCCTTTTTAGGGACCATTCGTTAAACTTTTAGTTAAAATTAATCACTCGTCCACAACCGCAATAGAAAAATCGGCTCTGTCCTCGTTCGTCCTCCGACGAATAGGGATATCGACGAAACTAAGGCAATGCAAAAGTTAGAAGATCAATTCCTTTAAGCATAAATTCAAGGATGAAGTGCAAGTAGAGAATTTAATGCATGACCGGGATTCGAATAAGAACATGTGTGGATGGATGCAAAGGAAAACAGGCTTAAAAAGAAAGACATTATTCTGTTACCTTTAAAATTTAAACAAAGAGAACATCCTATAAATATATAAGCTCACGCAAAGTGTTTATTAACAGTGGCTAACGGTTATACCTGAGATGAAATATCTGATGAGGGACAAGGATTTACAAAATTGGATTCGACGATAGGAGGCACGGTGATCGAGTGTTGGAAACAGAATCTACAAATGATGCACCCGGTGATGTTGTATTGAGTAGTGTCTTCATGCGGTATGAGTAATATTAATGGC